TGAACTCTAGTATATTAGCGTACCGCAACACAAAAAATTCCAATAACAAGCTTCTAATTCCATGGTTTTCTCTGTTCTTCAACTATGCCCCTGCTCCTATTTTTCGCGAGTGCCTACGTCGTGAGAGTGCGTGTGAGAAAGACAGTGAAAGGGGGTGCTGGAGAGGTATCAAAGTTCTCGTTTGGGCCCTCGAAAACTGGATCAGAACGGTCCGGGCCTTTTGTCCCCGTTCCTACAATGAAAATTACACCAGTACTAGGGCGGAATCGAATCAAATCGAAATTTTCGGATATTTAATAAGTAAAATTATCGGGTCCAAATTTAATTATGGAACTGTTCGGGTTCGGTTCCATTCGATTCGGTTATGTTCGGTTCCCGGGTTCCGTACAATAATTAATTTTTTTTATATTTACAATAACACTACATTAATTCAACTATAACATGTTCAATCTTAACTCTTAAAAAATAACGTAATTCAATTTGGTGATATCTTTTACACATTTTTTTGTTGATTTCTTCATAGATTTGACTGTTAAAATCACAAGAAAATGAAGATAGCGAATTTACAATAATAGAAAGGTAGAAACGACACTACAGTAGAATAAAAGATTTTGGTAAATTTTAGAACAATTTGATTAAGTTGGGTTTGACTAAAAATTGAAAATAGTAAAATCATATCTTAGGTTTGAGCTAAATTAATTAGTTAGCAAATTCATTTTTAAAAAATAAAATAAATTGACTTATTTAAGATAAAAAAAAAATTAGAAAAATTCAGTTCTTATTCGGTTCTAAGTCTAGAACTGAGAATTGAACCAAACATGTCAGTTCTCGATTTAGATACTCATTCGGGTATTTAATTAAAGAAAAATCGCTCAATTCGGTCTGGTTCGGAAGGTTTGTCCCAACCCTAACCACTACAAAAGTTTCAAGATTTTATTTTTAAAAATAATAAATTTGTGATTTTTTTTTTTTTCAAAAATTAGGTCACATCTTGTAATCCCTGATAAAAGTTTGATCACATTTTATAACCTCTCATAAAAGTTTGTGATCTATAATTTAACGTCTATTTGATGGCACTTTTTGTGAAACAAAGTTTTATACAGTAACGTATATTTAAAATTGGGTGCCTCTAGAAAGTAATTGTCGGAATTGAGTTTATCATGAAAATTTTACTTATTTGCCCTTCAATCTTTCTTCCAATTTCAATTGCTAAGTAGGCATTTATTTAAGGGCAAATTTGGAAAGATACATATCATAAAATTATGAAACAATTGTTTCTTGCTGATGTGAATATATCATGATGCGGATGTGGGCCGTATTATACTATTGCAAAAAATAAATTGGGTGAATTTAAGGGCATCAAA